ACTCGCTTTGGAGACCAGGCTGGCCTTGAACTCACGGAGATCCGCCTGCCTCTGCCTCCCGAGTGCTGGGATTAAAGGCGTGTGCCACCACTGCCCGGCTTAAGTGGTGTCTGTTTCTAAGCAGTTTCACCCTTTGATGCTGAATGGCCAGTAGGTGTTGATATTTTGACTCAACAGGTTCTGGAAGCACAGTCAAGAGATTGTTTACTACAGTCATTTCAAAATAGAGCCTGCCCAGCTGTAACCATGGCCTCCGTTGGCAGTGCAGGCCACTCTGATTAGTATGGCCCGAGCATGGTCCTTAGACATCAACATGGCCTCAGGTGGGTGCAGACTGCGGGCGTCAGCATGGCCTTTGGTGGTATCATGGGTCACGGACCTCAACACAGACCCCATCTGCAGTAGGGCCATAGACCCACACATGGCCCTCAGTGGCAGCTGGGGCCCAGACATCAGCATGACCCTGGGTGGAAGTGCAAGCCACTCACTCAGATTTGTATGGCCCTGGTGGCCGCATAGCCCTCCGGCACCAAAGTGGCTTCAGATGTTGGCCCTGACCCCAGGCATCCACATGGCTTTCGGTGGAGGCCTGGGTGACCAACTCAGGCTATTATCACCCAGACCCACATTCAGGGCTTTTGAGTTGGCCCACCCTAACATCCACCCCATCTATGACCTGCTAGAGTGCATGAAGGGACGGGTCGTGCTGAACCATAGCTGCAGGATCTCCGTGACGTGGGGCAACAGCGGGACGACTGAGAGACGTTTCAATGAGGGTGTTGATGGTGTACCCGAAGTTAGAGGCTTTGAACCAGGCCTCTTGGTTCAACTCACTGCCATGAACATTTGCAAGCAAAGCTGTTTGGGCAAAGGGCATGCTGTGTGACACACCTCAGCTCCCAAGGCCACTACGACAAATATATACATATGATGGAGAGGTGGGAAAGATGGGGAGCAAACTGTTTATATTTTGAATTTGATTGGAGTGAGAAAGGCTACAGGGGTGGAGGGTAGACATGGAAGGATTGGGAAATGAATGGGATTGGGATGCATGAAATGAAATTCCCAAAGAATCAATTAAAAAAAATTATGAGAAAACAACTAGAGACTGTGAAGCTTTCAGTAACATTCCGAGTACATCTTCACCTGAGATAATTCTGTCTTTGGACTCCTCTGGAATGTATCGAAGAATACGAAAAATGGGAAAAGTTTCCATTCACTATCCTATCAATCGACTGAGGTCAGTGTTCTTCAGGCTTTCTGAGTTATTGGCCTTAATGAACTATGCTCTTCTCAGTTACTGAGAGGACGTTAGAAAAAGCAATTGTTTGGGAAAGCGCCAAATTACCTAACTCCCAACAATGCGCCCCCCTCCCCCAAGGAGCCAGTATTGATGAAAAGGTCTATTCTAGCCAACATGCTGTTGAGCACTAACATACTTGATTGCGTTTTTGTAAAGAAACGGAGGCATGGAAATGTTAGAGAACTTGGCGGAGGTACTAAAGCTGTAAATGGAAGGGTCAGAAGCAGAGACATAGCTCAGCTTCCCTCAAAACATCCAACAGATACTTGAATGGTCTCAAATAAGAAGAATCCTCATAAACTCTTTTTTTCTCATAGGCGTTTTCTCTTCAAAGGCAAACGTAAGTCAACTTCGCACCCCTTGTCATATCCCGGGAGCGGAAACTCCTTGGACTATTATCACTTTTACTTCCAGAACAATTCCACAGTAACGATGCACCAGGCATTCACGTCTCTGTACTGTGAAGCTTCGGGAGAGCGCTCGGGCGTGTCCCAGTTTTCCAGAAAACGGCTTTCAGGAGTCTTCTGCTAGAATGGGTACTGCGTAGACTGAGGTCAGCAGCACCCTCTGCAACGCCAGGCAGGGACAGGCCCGAGGCGACCCACCCCGATTTGCTTGCAGTTTCTGCTCGTTTCTGGGCATTGGTCCCTCCAACCAGTTCTTATCCGACCTGGGCAATTTTCAACACACAATTTCCTTCTACGGAGCAGTGAGAAAAACTTTCGGTTCTCCTAAGGGGATCAAGCACTTAGCTATGAGGGGGCTGAGAAAATGTCACACCCAACTTCGTAAGCGTCCACTTACTCCGCTGCAGCGGGACTGGTTTAAAAAAAAAAAAAGCGCGCGGGAGACCCAGCGGCGCGGCGCACACTGGGAAAGGGGACGCAGGCCCCGCCCCCGTAAGGTGGGCGTCGGCCCGCAGTCCCGACCTCCTCCACTACGCCCGGGCCCCGGGCTCCGCCTACTTTGGGCCCCACCCACCGAGGGTTCCGCCCTCTTCAGACCTCTGGTTGCTCCAGGCTCCACCCACCTCAGGCTCCTCCTCCTGGGCCCGCCCGCCTCAGCATTTGACCGCCCCAGGCTCCACCTACCCCAAGCCCCGCCCCTTCGTCCCTCTCGCCTCCGCCTCGGCTGCCCCAGGCTCCACCCACCTCAGGCTCCTCCTCCTCCTCCTGCGCCCGCCTGCCTCAGAACTTGGGCTGCCCCAGGCTCCACCCACCTAAGGCTCCGCCCCTTCGTCCCGTCCCGCCTCCTCCTTGGCTTCCCGGGGCTTCACTCACGTCAGGCTCCGCCCCTTCGTCCCGCCCCGCCTCCTCCTTGGCTTCCCGGGCCTTCACTCACGTCGGGCTCCGCCCCCACGGCACGCCCGCCGCAGCCCGCTGGCGTCTTCGGGCCTAGCAACCGAGGCAGCGCGGAGAGCTGCGGGAAGTCGCGCGGTCCCGCCGTTCCGCCCTCCCACCTCGGGTTGTGGTTTAGGTTAAGCACGGTCCGGGGAACGAAGCGGGGCCCAACGCGGGCACACACTCTGCAGCAGGCCGCGCTGGTATCGCTGCGGGGCTGTGCGGTGCCGGGGAGGGTGCGGGAGAGGCGGCTCGAAGTCCCGGGCCGGCTCAGCTGAGGGAGGAGCCGGGTTGCGCTGTTCCGCCCTCCGCACCTTGGTGTCCTGGCTGGCCCGGCTTCTGTTGCCCGGGGGCTCGCAGAGCTGGAGCAGCCCACGATGCCCGCTCTCGGTCTCCGTGCGTTTTCGCTCCCAAGTGCACACCGAGCTTGGTTGTGCGCGAAGGTTCCCTGGGCTGCAGGGCATCCTGCGCTCCTGGAACGTGCCGCACCTCGGAGTGGGCCGCCTGGTTCCCCCCCAGGCTTGTTCCTGCTGCTTGTCTAGCACCTGTCAGCGGCGTTTCCCGCTGCCCTCGATCAGCCCCAACTCTCTCCTTGCCTCCACGCAGCCCGAATCTTCCCGAACAAGTTCCAGCCCTATCCTAGACGTCAGGCGCTTCTAAGAGCCGAGCGGATGCATTCAAAGAGGTTTTTTAAAAATTTTTTTTTAATTTATTTTATTTTTTGTTATTGTTTGTTAATGTTTTCTAAAGGAGCTTTCAAAAGTGTAGTTGGGATATATGATAAACCACACACAAAGCGAACAATTTGCTAAGTCTTTTGCACATGCATTAATCAAAATCAAGATCGCAAACATCCATCATTTTCAAAATCCGCTTACAACTTTCTCTAACCATTCCCATCTGTTCTCTTACTCCCAGTACCCAGGTTAAGTTTTCTGTCATTGGATTAATTTAATCACGATATATTATTCTTTAAATTGTATTATTGGATTTTTTTTCAGTAAGATTTTGTTTAGAAGTTTTGCATATATATTTATGAGAGATATGGGTTTGCAATCTTGTGTTGGATGGTTTTTTTACCCAGTTTTGATATTTAGTAATACTGGCCTCAGGGAATGAGGTGGGAAGCTGTCCCTCCGTAGGTGACAGTTGAAAGGACTTTTAGAACTCGCCCGGTGCACAAAGGAAGCACCCATGTGTATCAGTAGGTCGGGTGTCCACAGGACAGATCTGGGCAAGGTTCAGTTCCATTGAGGACAGCCTAACAGAATCCCTGGACCATTTTCAAATCAACATGTGTTTATTCAAATGTGAATGTGTTGCTGCTGTTTCTTCAGGCTGGAGGGTTGGCTTCCCTGTTCTTAGCTTGAGAGTGAAGGTGAATCCCAACCTGAAGTTGAAAACAGATGGCTCAGATTTAGTGAAGATTCAGGCAGATGCCGGTGGCCTTGGAGCTGATGTGCTCTGTTCCTGAGAAGTACAGAGAACGCAGGAGTGTCTGTCTGCTTATAGCTCCTTTTATCTCACTCGAATGCCATGAAAGGTGTGGGCAAACTTAGAGCCTTTCCTCCTGGATGCTACCTTTAGCAATGATAGAGATCAGAGTTATTTGACCTGCTCAGTGAAGCTGGTTCAGTTCCAGGAAGTGTTTTCCACACTTACTGAAGGCATATGAACTGAACGTCTTTATGATCTCCAAACTTACACAGAACCAAAAAGAATTAAGAATTGGTAGAATTTTTATTTATATCAAGTATATCTCTCCGGTACCTTTTTGTTTTTGTTTTGAGACAGGGTTTCTCTGTGTAGCCCTGACTGTCCTGGAACTCATGATGTAGAAAAGGCTGGCTTTGAACTCAGAGCTCTTCCTGCCTGTGCCTCCAGAGTGCAGGGATTACAGGCATGCACCACCACCGCCCGGCATCTCTGGTGCTTCTAGTGTTAAAATTAATTTTTAGTTCAGCGAGGAACTTGTGGCAACCTTCTTCTTAGAAGAGAAGCGTGATAGCTAAAGCTAATCATATTCTACTTCCACTACGGTCTGGTCCCTGCCATCCCTACTCAGCGTAGCTCAGGTTGATCTGTTTTCTGCAGGTTTTATTTTGGGGCACTGATGTTTTACCTTCGTTTGTTCCTGTAAAGCCATAGTCTTTGGTGTGAGTTTTTAAATCTTCTGGTGGGTATAATTTGTGGAATATTTAAAAGTTCTCTATTTTTGACTCTCTAAGAAGTTTGATCTTAATTTTCAGTGAATGATAGGTATGGGATGTTTCCCCTAATAGTTACTAAGTTGGCGGACTACTTGTTTTATCTGCAGTCTTGTGTTATTGCAGCCAATTACAGGCATGCATTCTCAAGTACTGCACCTTCCTTAGGAGTCTGGGATCAATCTGCTAACGTATGAGTGTCTCTTTGGGAAGACCCTACAGATAATTATAGATGCTATTGCTGTTAGCCAACATTTGTTTTTCTTTTTAAATTTTCAGATAGCGTTTGCCAGTAGGGACTGTCGAGTGTGTAGTTCACTTTGCCAGTAGGGACTGCCTGAGTGTGTAGTTCACTTTACCAGTAGGGACTGTCTGAGTGTGTAGTTCACTTTACCAGTAGGGACTGTCTGAGTGTGTAGTTCACTTTACCAGTAGGGACTGCCTGAGTGTGTAGTTCACTTGAACACTGACTTCAGTTTGCAACAGATACAAAGGCTATTATTCAACACTCCTTTTCTCCTTGCATAACATTTGGTAAGATTTTTTTTGTTTTTGTAATGAAATCTGTTCATTTAGTCTAGGGTTTCAGATTTGTCAGTGTGAAATTGTTCAAAAATGTTCGACTACTATATATTCAAATTTGTAATTAATATTTCAGTTGTCATACAGTGAAATGGTTTCATTGTGACATTTGCATATATATATACACACACATAAATCTTAAACTTGGCTCACATTCACCCTGCTAGCCCATTCTCTATACCATGCCTTGCTGGTGTCCTTCCTCCTTGAAAAAGGTCACCTTCTGCTTTATGTCATATATATACATATATTGTTGAATATAGATTCCACACATTGGAGGAAACATACTATACTTTTTATTTCTGACTCCCATATTGCTCCCTCCTGATCCCTGCTTTCTCTTCATAGTCACTCTTGTAGTTGGATATTATTCTTATATATTTAAATAAATATAGCATGATATATATTTAAGTCTAGATTTTGCATGTAAGAGAAAATGTGATATTTGTCTTTCTGAATCTGGATTATTTTTCTTAAAATTATGATCTTCAGTTCCATCCATTTTTCTGCAAATATCATTCTTCTTTATGGCTGACTAAGTCATCATAGTGCTATATACCATGTTTCCTTTAGCTGTTCACCTGTTAATGGGCACCTGGACAGGTACCATGTCATGGCTATTATGAACAGTGCCATGGTAAACGTGAGTGTGCAAGTATTTCTGTGGTCTGCTTCAAATCCTTCCAGAGAGACATAACTAGTAGTCATATGGTAGCTCTGTTCTAAGTGTGTGTGTACCCCATAGCAAATTCCATAGTGGCCGCACCAGTGTGCATTCCCATCAGCAGTGGAGAATCGTTCATTTTTGTCAAAAATTAGGTGCTGTAGCTGTGCGGGTTGATTCCTGGGTCCTCTATTCTGTTTTGTTGGTTTACCACTATGGTCCCCCCTCCTCCTGAAATCTTGTTGATTTTGTGATAGTGGCTCTATAATGTAAGTTGAGATTAGGGATTGTGATACCTCTGGACTTACTCTTTCTGCTTAGGCTTTTGGAATTTTAGGATTGCTCTGGCTGTTGGAAAACTGCTGTTTTTTTTTTTTTTTTTTTTTTTTTTTTTTTTTTTTTTTTTTTTTTTGAGACAGGGTTTCTCTGTGTAGCTTTGGAGCCTGTCCTGGAACCTGCCTCTGCCTCCCGAGTGCTGAGATTAAAGGCATGTGCCACCACCGTCCAGCAAAACTGCTGTTCTTACATATGAATTTTATGACTATTTTCTACTTCTGTAACCACAGAGTTGAGATTCTGATAGAAGATTGTAGGATGTTCTGATAGAGATGTCACAGAATCTATATACTGCTTTTGCCAATAAAAATTCTGCCAATTCATACATATATCTTTCCATCTTCTAATGTCTTATATTTCCTCAGTTTTTTTAAATTTTATTTCATGGGTCTGAGTATTTTGTCTGCATGTATGTATGCGTACCATATGCATGCCTGGTGTACTTGAGGGTCAGAAGAAAGTGTTGGAGCCCCTGGAACTGGAGTTACAGATGGCTGTAAGCCATCATGTAAGTTCTGGGAACTGAATCTTGGTTCTCTTGAGGAGCAACAAGTGCCCTTAACCATTCAGCCATCTCCCCAGCTCCATATCTCCTCAGTTTTCAAGTATTCATTGTGATGCCTTTCACCTCTTTGATTAGGCTTATTACTAGGTGTTGTATTTTTTTAAAGCTACCACGAATAGGATTTTTTTCCTGCTGGTGTCTTTCTTTGCAGATTTCCTAGTGGTGTATAGGAAGCTGCTGATTTTTGTATTGACTTTGTATCCTGATACTTTACTAAAAGTGTTGATTATATCCAAAAGTTTCCTGCTGAAACCTTTAGGGTTTCTTAAGTATAGCATCTTAAACAGCTACATCTACAAACAGGAATAGTTTGACGTCTTCCTTTCCTGTTTGAAGTCCCTTCTTTCTCTCTCTTGCTCTATTCCTCTGGCTAACATGTCAAGCAGTATTTTGATTAAGAGCGGAGATAAAAAGCATCCCTATCTTATTCCTAAGTTTAGAAAATACATTCTCGGTTTTTCCTCAGCTAGTAATATTGGCTATAGCTTTGTTATGTATAACGGTAATTGTATTGGGGTATGTTCCTTTTGTTCCTAGTTTCTCGAGGGCTTTTATTGTGAAGGGATGCTGAACTTAAGTGGCAGGCCTTTTCTACATCTGTGGAGATGATTCTAGCTTTGATTCTATTTTATGTGCTCTATTTTATGTATTGACTTGTGTATGTTGAACCATCTTTATATTCCTGAAATGAATCCATCTTGTTTATGACATGTGATCTTTATAATATGTTCTTAAATTCAGTTCGCCAGTCTTTTCTAGAGGTTTTTTGCCAAGTATTCTTTAACGATCCTTTAATTATTTTCTGCTGAAAGACTTAAAATGCTGCATTAAGAGGAGAAAAATGGTCTCTGCTAGGTTGCATGCAAATGAGCAAAAGTCACCTTTTCCTTCAGCCACTTTACTGCTATCTGCCAGGACATAATTATAATAACTACACGAACCTAATAAAACTATAACATACACGGTGCTCACAGACCTGTGGAGAATGCAGGTGCTTGTGGCAGCCTCGAGTGTCAGCTGGAAGGTGCCGGCAGTTCTCAGCTGCTCTGAGGGAAAAAACAAGGTGGAGAATCACTGTCGTCCGCGAAGGTGCAGGGGTGGGCTTGAACA